GACATCCATGGACTACCGTTGACAGCGTTAGTTGCCACTTATTGTAAGTCAAACATTGAGTGAGTTGATAACTTTCCCTTGGAATGAGAAATAGAACTAAGGTGTTTTTGATAGATAGGTTAATCGAACCGACGTTCCTACGGAAGTCGATTCTAGGGGGAAGCTAATGTAACAGCATAGGTTGGTTGGTTAAGAGTTGACCCCAAACAACCAAGCATATGCCAAAACAGTATTGTTCAAGTATTCATTCACTTCCTTATTTTGTATAAGCGTTATATTCCTTATTATCTTATATTGAATGCTGAAAGCCTTTGTTTGTCTGAACAGATAATCCCACGCTCCACTGTGGCTGCGCTAAGATCGAAATAAAGAAATATTCCCTTTATGACGGGCTTCTTCTATCAATAACACGAGGGTTATCTATAGGCACGAAAAGATCTTATAGATTAGGCAGTTATATCATGACAAATCTACAAATTTAGGATTAGGTCTATTATCAGAGCAGCACTAATATTATAGTAGACCATAATTCTACAGTACCAATTCGTGAAATACAAATGAATTAACTATGACATGACAAAGAGACCTCAAACAAGCATGAAATCAATGCAGAAAGGCAATAAGAGAGGAAATGATTCAGTATCACATACAGCTAATGGATAAATCGGCCTCCTATCCGTAAATCCTATTCTGTCATGCAGCCTCTTAATTCACCAGCAGTTCAAGTGGACTCTCAGGAGTGAACCTGAGTGCTGACTTGATGTAACAGAACTTAGAGCACATAAGCAAGATCACTTCTGGCTTGGATATGATTCAGTCTGTTATTCTGCCGAAAGTGGCTTCAGTTTCGACGAAAACTATTGATGTGATGTTCACATACCTGCTAAGCTGAGGTACGATACCAGGAAGTTGGAAGCTAACTCACATTTCTCAAACTTTCAAAGGCGGTCGAAGCAGCGAACATTCAAGCTAATGGTCGGTAACACTTCTCTCAATATCCTAAAGAGCTGTGAAGTCACTGATATATAACGGTGTATGTCACTACTTACTATCCACAGATGTATTTTCACTCCAACAGCATGGTTTTAGGTACGGTTACTATTGTATACCAGCCTGCTGGCCGCGGTTGACATATGGACAATCATCCATGATCTCAGTGGGAAGGTTGGTGTCATATACGTTGACTGCTCAAAATCTCTTGATATGGCCGATCATATATGTCTTATCAATAAGCTTAAATGATTAGGTGCCGAATCACCTTTAATTGACTGGCTAACTTCATATCTACAAAATTGACATTTGGATGTCAGAGCTAACTTCACTTGCTCTTAGGCTATGCAGTGTCCTGTTGGGATCCCCCAGGGTTCAGTACTAGGACCTCTTCTTTCTTCAATTTATACAAACAATCTTCCGCAGAAGGTATCGTCAGATTTTTTTCTTTTCACCGATGCTAAGAAAGTTGGGAGAAGATTGATCAATCATGAGAATGGACTAGCAAGTCAGGAGAATCTAACTGGAATTCAAGGTTGGGCAGACGACAACAGGCTTAACTTTAACACTTCGTAGTGTAAAGTAGTACATCTGAGACATGCTGCAGACTACAACTGCAGTTTAAACAACTCCCCTCTAGAAGTATCTGAAGTTGAGAAAGATCTAGGAGTGTTGGTACCCTACTATGTGAAGTCTTATGCTAACTGTGTCAAAAATGCCTGTCCAGCAAAACTTGCACTTGTAGAGTTGGACAGCATTTTCAGCCAGTTTGGAGGAAAGATTTCCCACTTAACCTTTAATAGTTTTATTCGTCACCATTTAGAGTATGGGAACTAGAGACGCAAAATTGTAGAATGGACTGAGTGCACACCTTCGATTCCTTAAGTGTAATCAGATGCTGAATTTTACTGCAGACTGAGCTAATCCAAGCGATTCCGAAAGAGTTCTTTAAGAAAAATACATGACATATTATTAGATACCAAAAACAGTCTCGCTATAATTTACTAATTACTCACAGAAGCATACTAGTAAAAGGATAGCAAAGCGTAGTCCTTCTGTCTTTACTACACACATCTGAATCATGAAGTGTATTGAGGTTTCTACCTGTAAGCACAGGGGATCCACTGCTACCAGTTACGGAAGCCCGTTAAGCGAAACCTTCCACCTTTCCGTCCAGAACCATATGAAACAGTGGTGTTTGAATGAACTAATGATACCTTTGTACTTGTTGAATGCTTGATTTCGAATTCCAAATACAATACATTCGTTTGTGCTTAACTAGTACTTCTTGATCCGATTACGTTATTTTGGGGATTCTTAGTTCATACTACAATTCAAATACTCCTAGTCATCATAAAACCATTTGAAATCCTTTCCGTTAGGAAAAAGGAAGTCTAAAAAACTGAATTTTTCTTCGGTTCTTGGAAGCGAAGGCTACCAAAGCCTGGTGGATAGGCCGTTCTTCCTAGTAGTTTCATATGCCAATTCTCGTACTCCAAGAAATAAAATTTATGGATTATGAGTATTTGTGGACAAATTATGGTCTATCACTGTAGCTGTGAAGGAAAATTGGTTAGTCCACGACTTCTACATTACTCTAAAATTATCCGGATATCTGCACCTAAGAAGTGATAGACATAGATGTAGGAAAGGAGGTGGCGTTCTTTTATATATAGCCAATAATATAAATATTCTCTTATTTGCTTGAGAATCCTATGCTAGTAAGTTTTGTGAAGTCAGTAGCGGTGAGATCTTTACCGGATTTTGCACATTTATACTCGGGGACATCTATCACAGCACAGTCTGCTTAGCTGATGACTATTTAGATCGCATTCACCTATGGAGTGCAAATAACAGATGCATGATATTAGGAGACTTTAATGCACCTGGTTTTAGTTGGACTGAGATGGCCACGGTTTGATCTATAAACCCCCTTGATAGTAGGTTCCTGATAACGGTAATGAACCATAAATGAGTGCAGCATGTATTCAAACTCACACATTTTGGTGCAAATCAAGGTTCTTCCTGGTTGGACTTGATAATCACTCGCGCGATTGGGGAGATTTCCAAACTAAATATTCTCCTACCGTTAGTGAATATCGATTACGCTGTTTTGTCATTTACGTTTAGAGCTATTGATATGATATACTATCAGGTTAAGCCCCGCTGAAATGTATGGAGGGCTAAATATCAGCCATTCAGGAGTGCTCTACTATGCTGGTTGGTCAGTTTATACAATCTCATCAACTGAATAAGCAGATTTAGGTCAGTTGCGTCCTCGTTTATACCCTGCCTCGTACCACGGAGACCAAATAACTTTCCGTCAAGAAACTTCACAGATATAGAAAAAAGCTCTGGAATATGTTCATATCTTCTGGCCTAGAACAGTACAAATCCAATTATTGTAAGACTAGGAATGCTTGTGAAGCGTTAATTGTTGAGTCGGCCTCCGAAAAATAAAACAGAGGCCCTAAAGAAGCCGAAGAGTTCCAGCAAATCAGAATATGATGGGGCTTTCTAAAATATCAACGTGGCACGCTACAATTATTCAGTAGCATAATACGTCTCTTAGTGGTCCGGTGTATCAGATAAGGAGTACAGTCTTTGTTAGTAACTATGGAGCCGTTGGTCTAACCAACGCAGCTGTCAAATAAATGGGGAAGGTTACTTGGATGGCTGTTATATATGGAAGGGCATAATACTTCGTCCAGCGAACAACATAGATTTCCAAAAGGTTTATCATGTTTGACAAATCTCTTCATTGCACGAGGAGAATGTGATGCGGTAAAACATCGAAATATTCCCATAGATGTGATTTTCTAAGATTAAAGCCTTTGATAAAGTCTCCAATTCAGATCTTAAATTAAAACTGGAAAATTTCGGAATCCACTATAAGGTTATAGACTGCATAAGTGACTTTCTCCATGAAAGGAGTCAAAGAGTAAGGGTAAATGGAGCTCTCTCACCTCGAGAACCTGTAAAGTGTGGGGTTCCCCAGGTCACAATACTCGGTCTTCTCCTCTTCCTAATTTATGTGAATGAATTATCTACTGCAGCAAAGTCATCCATCCTCCTCTTCGCCGATGACATAAATATTTGGAGACCCATAACAGTATATCAGATAGAATATTATTACAGAATGATCTCAACTCCTTGGTGGCATGGATGGATGGTCACTAGAAATGAATCTTAACAAAAGTGATGCAATTAAACAACTATGACTATTCTTATCACTACACAATACATGGAGTCGTGCCACCTAAAGTAATGGACTATAAAGATTTAAGAGTTCTACTAAGTAGCGACCCCAAAACTACGAGCAACTGCAAGGTCGCCGCTGCCAAATACTTTAGGTTAGTATTGGGTATTCGTTAATCATTTCAGTATTTGGACGGAGAAACGTTTAGATTATTATACCCGACTTTCGTGAGACCGCATTTGGAATATGGAATTCAAGCAGCGAATCCTTGTTTCAAGTACGAAACAGATGTACTGGAACGAGTCCAACGACGGGGAACTAAAATGGTAAAATATCCCTCTGGTCTATCGTATGAAGACAGATTGGGACACCTTAACTCAATTCCGTTTTCTTACCGTATAATACGGGGTGATCTAACATTGACTTATCGTATACTGCACGATGACCTTGATATTAATATGTTTTATCTTTTCCTTCTGTCTAGGACTGATTATTTGAGAGTATATTCTAAGAAAGTTCGAAAACAGAAATTGAATCGTCTACGTCTGGAGCTTCGTTTCTCGCACGAAGTAGTGAACCACCAGAATTATCTACTAGAACACGTAATATCAGAGTCTTCTGTTGATACATTCAAAACGAGGTTGGACATGCACAGTGTTACAAACTGCATGGAATAATGTAGGTCGATGGACCCCCTATGCTTATAACTTAAGACTGAATATACTATAACTGTTCTCGGCCTCAGTAGTAGATTTTCTGTAGATTACTTCATCTTTAAATATTGAGCTTTTAGACAAAATATCAAATCATAGGCCACCTTAATAATTTAGAGAAGTTAATCTGTTAGTGCTACTTCAGTGCCTTCAAACTATCACGATATTGTTTCTTGTACGAATTTGTTAGAGTGCGCTGGTGATTCCTGGTGATATCCACCGAGTGTTCTGGAACGTTTACCGCGCTACTAATTGTCGTCATGGGGCGTGCAGAAGCAGATAGTGAGAAAGAAAAGGGGAATGACGCTTATAAGAAAAAGGACTTCGAAAGTGCAATCACACATTACGACAATGCAATAAAACTTGACCCAACGTGCATAACGTATTACACAAACAAAGCTGCAGTGTATTACGAGAAAGGTGAATATGATAAGTGCGTGGAGATATGTGAAGAGGCTGTTGAGATAGGTAGAGAAAACAGAGCCGACTTCAAATTGATTGCCAAAGCATTCGCGCGTGCTGCTCATGCTTGTGAGAAAAAGGAGGATTATCCTAATGCAAAAAAATATTACGATAAGTCACTGTCCGAATCTAAGCAACCAGACGTTGAGAAGAGTGCTCGAGCTTTAGAAAATCGTATGAAGGAAATGGAAAGGTTAGCATATATTAACCCAGAGATGTCGGAAATGGAAAAAGTCAAGGGAAACGAATGTTATCAGAAGGGTGATTACCCAGCTGCCATAAAACATTACACTGAGGCTATAAAGAGAAATCCATCTGACGCCAAACTGTATAGTAATCGTGCAGCATGTTACACAAAGTTAATGGAGTTTCCTTTAGCGGTTAGTGATTGTAATAAGTGCATCGAGGCAGATCCGAAATTTATCAAAGGTTACCTCAGGAAAGGAGCAGCATGCAATGCCATGAAGGATTTTACTCAAGCAAGAAAGGCTTTTCGGTATGTTCAAATGATTTTTCATCGGTTTTTTTGTGCAATAACTATCTGGTTGTGCCTTTTCCAGTTTTTAATTTAGGACATTAAACTTTACTTGATAGTACCTAGTGTCAATGTCTTAAACATAGATAAACACTTGTCTGTTGTAAATTAGTCGACATGGTTAGCGTTCAGTTCCTTCACAAACGGCAATGATACTTGTTACCAGCTTTTCTTGGAATATCATCACTAAAGTAGACTAGTATCCTTTCACAATGAATGGATTCCAAAGTCATAAGTATATGCCTCTTGATCACTCATCACAATGAAGGGCTTTAAATGTTAATCTACTTAGACTTCTGTCTTTGTTCATCAGATTTTGACCGAGTTTACAATCCCAAGTTTCTCTTCAAAACCTGGTTGCCAAAGGTAGATAATACATTTATGTTTCAAAGATTTGAAAATAGCTAATAATTGAGTAAACATGCTGATTATGCGAGTATTTTGTTCCAAAGGCTTGTGCTTAGTGGAAAAATTGGAGCTGTTTGTGGCGACTTGAGCCACAACCAGGCTGTTTTTTAGTACATTACTATTACTGACCGAACATCACTTGAACATACGACGCATAAATCCACACGTAATTCAGTGATGGGGGGATTTTATTTTATTATTTATTTGATAATATGTATGTATTAGCAGTGCTTAGTTTCGGACATCGTGAGACGTTAGTTCTTTTTGAACAACTTAGGGTAATTGTGTTATTAGTGATCTTGTCAGTCGAATATATAAACTCCATAAGTCATCGCGAACGACATTTTTGTTGGTAGCTTCATACTTTGCAAACAGTCAGCCGGCAACAACTTAGAATTTCGTACGTACGTGCATCAGTCCAAGTTGCTATACCTACAACTAAAATGCCTCCATATCTCGTTATTTTAGGAGTTCCGGGCCATTTCCCCAAAGTTTTCTATCACGGATTCCCCAAAATTACTCAGAACTGACATTCTTCTGCAAAGTGGGCGGATTGGGCTAGTACGATATTAGCTTATATGGCCTAATATCCTAACAGTTTTGCTATAATTGGCCTTCAAAATCGTTGACGCCGAATAATTCATCAGAGTACGATCCACGGACTGACTTCGAACTTATAGCTTATATTGGTAGTTTTTCCGAAAACGGAAAACATTGGCGTTTACGCCATCCAGTTTAGAGAGCGTAGTGTCAAAGACATCCCTTAGAGTTACTATTTCCCTGTTGTCATGTCGTTATTGAATTTCTAACAAACGTTATTACACACTTGTTGTCAGGTTACTAATTCAATCATTTTTATCCACTGTTCTGATTTCATTTATTAATGACTTCCAATCGAGTCTTAAAACGTGAGGAAATTAACACCATTCAGAATGAAAATAAGCACTTCTCAAATAAACCGAACAAAAAAGCGCAACAATATGTAACTATTTAGCTCCGGATATTCATTAGGTCTTTAGTATAGATGGCCAATTTCAATGTTCCGTATCGTAAAACCAAATTTGATGCTGTGTGTTCGTTACAAATATTTTGGCAGTAGTGTTTCCCATTAGTATATGACTTGCTATTGTACATTCCTCAGAAGAAAGTACTTATCAAGCTTCGTAAGAGCTAAGTTTTTCTCTGAAATGCGTTACTGAACTGAAAACAAATTCACGGTAGCTACAATTAAAGCCGGTGATGTGATGGTTAGAGACCCTGAATGACATGGCTCAAAATCGTTTGCAATGGCGCAGGTGCATCCACTCTCTATGTTCTCCCAAATTCTAATTATCTGAATTCTTCATGCCCCTTTTTTTCCTCTTTCCAAATTTATTTCACTGGATTATACTCGTTAAATAACATCTCCAAACCCTAATATTCCCGATTACTGCTTATACTCTTGCTACCTCTACCACTACGGGATTTGAATCGACCACTGCATCTCTGTGCTAATGTGGTATGGCAACTCGAACTGATGTACGTACGTACTAAGTTCTACGTTGTTAATGACTGACTGACTGGTGATGTGCACCAATATTAATGACAGATTATATCTGAAGAGTTGACAAGATGTTTTAAAAAACAATTCCCAAAGACAGGCCAGTGGTGGATATAAAAGTGCACTCACATTAGTAGAGAACTTCCTACATCTAATACTCATTATTTCACGGTATTTTTTCGGTATTCTTAGATAAAGAATTCAACCCTCCCAACTTTTGCTTCCGAACTTCAGGTTCCTGATGATTAGTTACAAACTCAACAAAAGTATTATACAAACTTTTGAGACTACGCTCACCACTAAATGATATAATCAGTTTTTAGATATATCAAATAAAATAACCACTATATTGATTGGATTTCAAGATTTACTCTTACAAATTTTTGACAATAATGTGTAACAACCTCAGGTAAACCGTCTTTACGAATTCTACTTTTAGATATCTTTCTTTCCAGGTTTTGACTTATCAAACGAGCGGCACTCTTAGGGATGCAAGGTCAAATCCCAGGAGCACACTTTTATTTAACATTTATTCAGTGGCCCTACAGTTATAAGTTGCTTATTCAATGTAATGTCTCAGTAAGCCCACGTCTACTACATAACAAGTGCTTTGTTCATGAATACACTATGTTCAAGCCATATATATATATATATATATATATATATATATATATATATATATATATATATATATATATTTCTATATATATATTTCTATATATATATTTCTATACTTGGCTTGTCACCAGATTCTCAGTCAATCGCACCACTATACTGAGGCAAACTTGCCCTGAGAAAAATGATCTGCATGTCGCTTGAGAATGTCATAAGAGTCTCGCACTACTCGGTTAAGGTTGTGGGCAGAAGTCGAATACATCAGAAAATTTCATGTACTTGTTTAAACGAAGTGCTGGGTACAACTGCTGGTGAAATGCAACAAATAAGCTACTTGGCTGTAAAATTAATAAACAACGTATTAGTGTGAAGATTCGTTAACGCTGCATGATTTTTATGTTCTTCAATCTTTTAGGAAAGCTCTAGAGCTAGATCCAGATTGTTCGGAGGCTAGAGAAGGTCTCAGTCAATCATATACAAATGATGACGATCCAGAAGCTGCTCGCAAGCGTGCTATGAACGATCCTGAAATAGCTTCCATCTTGTCTGATCCAGCCATGCGCCTTATTCTAGATCAGATGTCAGATCCTACTGCACTTCGTGCGCACCTTAATAATCCAGAGATAGCATCCAAACTAATGAAGCTCATTGATGCCGGCTTGATTTCATTTCGGTGAACCTTCCTTATGATAGTTCTGTGTCCAATAAATTAATTCACGAACACTTTTAACTCTTTAAAGAATGCAAAATTCGAATATTCAAATACTTTTATCAGCCATCAACTTCAGGAAAACAACTAGTTCAGAACCAACACTTTCTGCTTGCGGGAATTTTGATTCATGTACATTTATACAAACAATAAATCTTGAAAATACAGGCGAATAAAGTACTAGTATTGTTCTAAATTCTAATAATTTTGAGGGAACGAGGTCAATGAATTGCAATCTTTATTGAGTGAAATAATCGTTAGGCTTCGGAAGCATTGAACCAAAATAATTGTTAAAGATAGCAGAAATTAAGATTGATGCAAAATAATAATTATTCATTTTATTTCGCTAAATCCCTCATCAGCTTCTTACGAGCTATCATATTTTCAAACCCGTTATTACGAATATACATATGAAAGAGGTTAGGGATGACTGTATTATGACATCCATCAGCTAAACTGACTGTCTTGTCCAAAACATGATGCTCTTTAACACAATCGAAGATCGGCAGGGGTCCCTTCCCGTTACTACCAATTGCGGCTTTTAAAAATTCACATGTATTCGCAAAAGCAGATACATTAGTAAAACAGAAAGAATAGCCTACGTCCGCTTCAAAGGACAAATTCCAAAAAGTTAAAGTGGGTTAAAAGTATTCAGCAGTGCCATCTCGAAACATCTTGACACGCGACATCAGGCGGATACACTGAATTTCTCAAGGTGACTAGTAAACAATTGAACTCCGGTCTCCTGAGATTTCCCGAAAATATAGCGATAAAACATCTGGGACGTGATTTATGTAAACTAAAAGGAACTAAGTCTTCCTTTGCCCTGGTTGGTAACATTGCATCCTTTATATTACATTCATTTTTCTACTGTTCCTGAAGTTTGGATTATATCACTGTAATTTTTCAAATTCATAACTGACTTATTTCGACTCATGTTTGTTAACTCTAAGTTCTAGTCACAGGTCCAATGTTCTGCAACTTCCCCTCTCAAATTTTATTTTTGTGACCTTATCAACTCTACTGCAATCTTCGCTGTCATGACACGCATACTCCCCTTTGACTTCGAAGTATTACTGGTCGTAACCAGCTGATGAGGGCCTAACAAAGTAAGATGGTCTGCAGCAATCTTTGTTTTATCTCTTTAAGATAGTAGAGGGGGTTTATATGTGTCGAAGTAAACTTAGTTGGCACTTATGGAGGTTTTGTTTGCAGTCTGTGCTTTATGTAGAGAACGGACAGAATTTCCTGTGTAGTATATCCGATTTTTGATCGGACCAACATATCTATGATACACAAGACATGCACCGCCTAAGTGATTGCTTCACACGATCTAGGCAGCTGTGGAACCCGGTGCCAGGTTGACGCAACCTCAAGCGGCTGACTAACACCATTGGTTCGAAGCGACAGTGCCTTTAATTCTTCCCTATCGATGTCTCGTGCGAGGATTTGAAGTGACTTTCCAACTAGCGAATGTCTGCTTATCTTGTTTCTAAACTCAAGTTTGTTTTCAGAATTAATTTCAACTGCCTACAAGCTAACGAACATTTGTAACCATCATGATATCTGTTTGAAATCCCAGTAAGGAACTTGTGATAGTACCAAACTGACAAAAATATCACAATGTATAGCTATGTTGGTTCGGAATACTTAAAACCTTGAAATAACAGTAAAAGCTGTCGAAAACTAGAGGCTGATTTCGAAGTTAAAACGAGTAGTACATTGTAAGACCAGTAGACATTTATTATGCGATACAGGGAATTATGCAGAAGGTTATGAATTGTCGTTTAGTAGTGTATCTTGCTCCCGTTCAGTGAATAACAGGTGTGGGCGGCACAGTGGGTTTTCCAAACGAAGCATCGGTATCGTCCTCTTTTTGTTCGACTGCAAGCTGTCGAAGTTCGTCAATTGTATTTGAAAACATCGTCCACTCATCTGCATTAGGGATTGCCATCGTCTAAAGAATAAAAACAAGATATTTCCTTGTGAAGTTATCAACCATATGTAACCGCGACTGTATTCACTTGGGCATATTATTGGGGTTTATTACGAGATACTTCCCGATCCTATTGTTTTTATTAGTATGATGTAGCGCTAGACGGAGTACCTCAGACATATTAGGGCAACCAGACAGGCATCGACACAGAAGCCCGGTACATCTACATGTTCGTGTAAGTTGCTATACCAAACTACGATGACGAGATGAAAATAACAAAATAGATAATGTAGTATCAATGATAGAAAGAAAGGCTAAAGCTAGGGAATATGGTTTGGTAAAGTGCGTACGAAGAGATGCTGATTCCAAATCGAGGGGAAGATAAAGAGTGAATCTACCTGGACCAATGCGAAATATTCGGAGCTATGACACTCGACGTCACAAGCTAGAAGCCCTACAGTTGTCGAGTGACAGTTCTAACATTCCAAGTAACATGATATTACCATGTAACTGCGTATGTTACATATGCACAAAATCCATCCATATGATGACAGCTTTTACTGACCACAAAGTCACCATCTCCGAACTCTGGCAACTCAGGTATCGGCAGACCATTGACACACACACAATAGTAATTGTAGTCTTGTCGATGACATTTTTGATATAATTACTGCGTGTAAATTCCCGCTTACAAAACATTTCAGGAACCTAATTGGAAATGTTTTGGCGTCGGTAGGTGTATCCATACTATGGAACGTGGTGAGCACATTCATCACGAAACCTATGAACTTTCATTTCTCAACTATTTATGACCCTGATGATTGAAGACAATAGACTACTTAAACTAAGTCCCGCTGTTTCGTAAATTGGAGTGATAGCTGATCAAGAATAATAGAAAAGAAATACTTAATTAACGATGTCTTAATAATTCCACTTACTTCATTCAAGTCGAACATGTGAATACGTCCATCATCATCACCAATGGCTATATGTGAACCAGATGAGTGGAAACGACATTTGTTTAACGATGGTTGACCGGGAATCACTGTACGAATTGATGGGACCTGTAGAAAAATCAATAAATCTTATGATCTAAGAACAAATTAGTGATTATATATGCTTGTTTGTAGACTCCATTCTAACCACTGAGTCGTAAGTTCGCAACCCTCTAATTAATAACCGCTCAACGAGTATAGCTCATAATCTTATCATGCACGAGTATAATGTGTGTTAAGCTTACCATACATATAGCGAGATTAAACTTTTGAATTGAATATTTTATTGAATTTCGATATGGTCTCGTAATCGAGTTAATTATCGGTTGCTCAATCATTGAGGATCAAGAGGCGCCAAACAACAATTCCAACAAGTTGAGTCATTTATTGACAAAACACATGAACAAAGTAATTTGAGATAACAGTATCGCGTGTGATATCAACAGCTAACGTCAAATCAAAACCCTATTCACTTTTGATGGGAGAATCACTACTATCAAGCTATACACATTGGCAAATCCATTTTTTTACACCATGTCTTCCATAAGCAATATCAAGCATTACTATCTGATAAAAAAATTAAGCCATGCAAATTCAGGTAATCAAAATATCCACCGTTTTTTACATAAACACACAAAACAAGTTTGCTATTGCTTCATCGAATATAAATTTCTAGAGAATGTATTTACCGACATATAAAAGACAAGTTGACTTGACAATGTTCTCATAAAAGCAAGTTATTTTGACCTTTAGTAGTATAAGAATACTACGCCTTTCAGTGTACCGAACATGAATGAAGTACAACTGGAGAAACGATTGTGCAAAATCTTTATGTAGTCTACTTGACTCATAATTAATACTGATAACTTGTTTGAAAAGTAACCATTTAGCCATCATACTATAGATAGCGACGTTTATTAAGACATCATTTTTCTATAAATGCAACCCAATATTTTATAAATTCCAAAGGCCGAGTATTTTGTTAAATCATTTAATAGGCATTCCATGAACCAATGGAAATAATGTTCTTTGTTATGAAATGTTGATCGACACTAGCTCGGATTGTCAAATTTTAAAATGGTGTGTACTATCTCATTATACGTAACATATTTCATATCATATCATAGACCTCAAAAAGTGAATTCACAGTGATCCATATATATAACAATTTTATCTTATTCAGATTTACATATACCATAACAATTAAAAGGTATCATTAATTAATCGTCAACCGTTTTGATAATCCCAAATAAACTTGAATTCCTATATTTATTTTGTACCAATGAAATCAACTCACTGAATTTTAATTCATTCTTTATTATATTAATACTATAACTGATTATTAATAAGCATTTCCGCCAAACTTTAATTTTATTGCATGTCGATTGCATATTTCATGACATTTACAGTATTATTAGTAAGCACATTTGTAAGGATGACATTTGAATAACTGCTGAAACGTTCGAATCCCCCTCCAAAATAGAATAAGTGCCTCAACTTTTACGAGATGTGACTATATTGTGTAAATATGAAGTATATCGAAATGATGAAAGAGATTTACAGCATAAGCTGGCGTTTTGGTGATGTGTTCAAATAGATGTATTGCTGATGGTATCTAGAACGATAACGAAAGCCTTGCGATTAAACCATCCAGCTGAGAAAAATTAACATCACCAAAAATATGAAGTATAGGCAAACTGATTTCCTAATTATCTATGGATAATGGATAGGTAGACAGATAACCTTGCAACCAATAATATCTTACTCAACAGGAAGTGTACAATTTTTGAATATATTTATGATTTTTAACTGTGTATCTCAATGACATCTAAAATTAGGATTAAATCAAGACATATTTATGATATTCGAAGGTATGTAAAATGATGCGAACCTTAAGGTTGAAGCCAGTAAAAACAATAAATATTAGGCAACCTAAATAAAAATTTATTACATCAGTGGAAATATTTTCACTCTCAATGTTATTTCATATTCTTGAAAATCCAGGGTGTTCTATAGTCATTGTCAGGTATATATTCACTCGATTTTTTCTTCGATTACTATACTACTATTGGTACAATTATTCACATTGAGTCAAATTCTATCTCATCTAATTTGTCCTTTACCATGGATCGAATAAATTGTAACAATTCTGATCGATATACTATCTAACTAGATATGTTGTACTATAAGTGATAATTTGTATGTGTAAAAATGAAAATAATGTAACAATAAATACACATAATACTTGA